GGAAGAAGGGAGGGAGAGAGATATATGGGTATGCTATGAGGAGGTGATGCCAGGGATGAGTGTCAACAGATAAGGAATGGTTTCTTCCCTCTGGTGTTTGTTGAGAGTTAGCCCAGGAGATATTCACATAGCACTTGGGGTAGGGTTGAACATTTACAATGCGGGGGTGGGGGTGGGGGGGTAGGGGGTGTGTGGGCAGGCTCTTCGAGCTACAGTAAGACTCCTGAGAACACAAACTCTTTGACTTGGGGGGGACTAGAAAGCAGGAACACAATTGGCTCTATTGTGTGCCAAACCAACTTCATTTTCTGCTGCTTGTACAACCAGCCGAGTCTATTTCAGATGCTTGGAAGTGGCCACTGGCCCCAGAAGGAAATGGATTTCTGAAGTCCATGTTATAATTAGCTACACTCCTAGTCTGCGACACTCCTCCCAAGATTAAGATGATTTTCCAGTACCAAAATGCCCTAAATTTAGTCCAAACAATTTCACCGGCCATAGGGGGTAGGTAGGGAGCCCAACTTAGGACTAAGAAAATTAAAAATAGGACCGTTCTCACGGACAGCGAACAAGAGTGACAAACAGGTAATCAAGACTTGCATGTTTCCAATTAAAACTCTAATGGCATCGAGCTATTCTGACCCAAATAGCAAGCCACAATTCCTACTGCTTAATGAACGCTAAACTCGTCCCAATCCATGTTCACCTGGAATGCTCATTCATTTATAGAAAGGTCAATTGCCCCATCATATTCACTGCTGGTTGCCACCCACAGGAAATGTGCTGGGAGAGAAAGAATGCAGGACTGTGAGTTCCTGGCTTTTCGCGGTGCTCCTCTCAGATGACGAGGACACCATGAGGTCTTGATTGCAGCTTGCTTGTCGGTAATGGATTGAAAGCCTTGTCTTCTCAAATGAGTAATAGTGTATGAGCTTGTGCCTACAGGACAGCCAGTCCTGTTTGTTGTCATTATTGTCGCAGTTAGTCATGGAATACGGAAGCGCTCGGCCCTCTCAGTTTCTTAAAATGCCTTATTACTCATTGGAAAAGCATCATCAGACACAATTCACGTCCCCACCTGTCAAATATTCAATCCTCTTTTCAAACAGTGATGGAACAAGATAACATACCATACACCAAACCAGAGGGGGGAAAATATCTCAAAGGAACCCACAGCCAAATCACAGGGCAAATGCTCCTTCCAAATGCTAATCTGATTTGCATGCATAGAACTGTGTCTGCTCTGCTTGTTAGATGGCTATGAATTCGGAAGCAATCCCCTAATCCCAAAGAGGGTAGGGCAATCTTGCAGCACAAAATGGAAGGAACTATTATTTGTGTTGTTGTTTGTTAATCAATGGAACTAAAATCGGTATGACAAGTTCGGCCGAGAGCTGGAATTTTTATTTTCTGAGACACGTTCCACACACCAGAAGACAAGGAATATGAAACCAGAGGAGTGGCTGGGCAGGTGAGGGTGTGGGATTCTGCAGACAAGAGTAGATCAAGGTTTGGTGCGCAGGGGTGGCTTCAGAAGCTCTTCTGAGTCATGGCAGTTGTCATGTGGGCTAGCACTGTCTTACCAGAACACCAGTCTATTGGTCACACAACAGTAAACAGACTGAATGCAACTTCTAATTTGATTGTCTTAGGACCCTGGTTTCCTCTCCTTGCTAGGGTCCGTCGTCAATGTTAAGAGGCTCACATGTAAAGGGGCCTGCCTCTTCTCATCCTAGATCTGTTCTTGGCTTCACAGTACAGATCACTCCGCCCTCCTCTACCTAAGACTTAACTTACGTTTCATTTCTCTCAACCGATGGTCTTACAACCTCACCTGAACCTATGGCGCCCAAAGCACACAAGGCTCCTGTGATGTAACTATGTTGTGACTCCCCAACTCTGACCGTGTCCTCAACTCATCCTCATGACCACAACCTTCACCCCATGACAAAATCCTTACCCCCATGGTAAAACCCTCATCTGTAGACAAAACTTTCATCCCCGTGAAAAAAATCTTTACCTTCGTTATTCTAACCTTCACCCTGCTTTCCCTAACCCCCACCTCCATTATTACAACCCTTAAATCCTCATGACTCTAACACTCACCCTCATTACTCTACTCTCATGACCCTTGTGAAGTTGAGAAGGAGATTTCTTGAAATGATATTCCTTTCCTGTAGCATATATTAATTTTTCAGAATAAGAGGTTTCATTATAATATTTTTATACACGTGTATAACACAATTCACCCCCATTACCCTTTCTAATTCCTACTCCCCTCTCCCGGATGTTTCCTTCCTGTGGTCTTTTAATTCCATTGCTCTTCCCCAATAGCCTTCTTTCTACATTCATACACACACACACATACACACACACACACACACACACATAATCTAGATTCCACATATGAAAGAAAACATGATTTTTGACTTTCTGAGTCTGGCTTATTTCATTTAACACAGTGATCTTCGGTTCCTTGTCCTTTCCTACAAAGAACATGATTTTGTCCTCTATGGCTGAATGAAACTCCTTTGTCTATATAGACAATGTTTTCTTCATTCATTCATCAAGACAACATCACATATGTGATAGTGTGGATGTAACTGGTCCCCATAAGCTACTAGGAAGTGGCACTATTAGGTGGTATGGCTTTGTTGGAGTGGGCGTAGCCTTATTGGAGAAAGTGTGTCACTGTGTGTGTGGACTTGGAAGTTTCATATATGCTCAAGCCATGCCCAGTGTCTTAGTTAACTTCCTGTTACCTGCAGATCAAAGATATAGAATTCTGAGCTCCTTTTCTAGCATCATGTCTGCCTGCACACTGCCATGTCCCGCTATGATGATAGTGGACTGAGCCTCTGAACTGTAAGCCACCCAATTAAATGTTTTCCTTTATAAGAGTTGCTGAGGTCATGATATCTCTTCACAACAATAGAAACCCTAGCTAAGACACTGTATCTCCAACCAGAGGATAAGGTATAGGTGTCTCAGTTACCAGACACAGTTGCTCTGTAAACAGAAAGTGGTCTCAGGTAGAATTGTTGGAATGACTTACACATACTGCCACCCATACCCATACCCACTTTCTATGCACATTAATCAGGAGGCTTCTGTAGCTGCAGTGGTCACAAGGACACTAAGGTTGAGGCTCTTGGACTATAAGAGTACTACTCACAGCTAGCTGTGACTGGACTAAGGTTCCAAATCCCCGCACAGATCCTCATCCTCTTGGTGCAGATTAGCATGTTTAAGTGAGCTCAATTTTCTTTCATGTCCCTTTACATAATGTAAAGAATTTTAAAGATAGCTTTGCTCCTTGTAAAAGACAGAATGATCTTTCAAAAATGCAAATCTGATCAGATCACTGTGTGGCTTAAAACACTTCAATGCCTTTCCATTCTCTTTTAACAGAGGCCCAAATCTTTGATGTGATGTAGGAGGTTCTGCCTGCTCTGGCCCCATCTGCCTCCTGGCTTTCTCCCCCTGCTTCCAGCTCCTACTAGTCTTCTCCCTGCCTTGGCTCTTGTTAGAGCTACAGACACAGTATTCAAGAGGTTCTCATGCTAGATGCATGACTGTGGCTTCAGGGGAAAGGTTAAGCTCCACCTGAAATACTTCAAGGACAAGTGAGGACTTAGAGTCAACAAGCCAAGTGGGGGAGGGGTAGGAAGCACTGAGACCAGACACTAAGGACAGGGGTTCATGATCACCCATATCAGATACCAAGGGTAGGGTTTCTTTCAAAGATGCTTGCTAAACTTGGCCAGGCAGGCCAACACCAAGAGGAGGCCAGTTTGATTGCCTCACTGAAAGACTCACTACAGTTTGGTCAAGAAACAATCTTTGCCATTCCCCAGCCTCCAAGCCATCCTCCTTTCCAGTCCCCTGATCCCTGCTCTACTGCTCAGAGGGGGCGTTCTTCAACACCCACTACACAGCATCTCTTATCACCTAGCTAGCAGCTCACAGGTAAGTGCCCTCCCCACCCACACATCCACCCCTCAAGCCTTCCTCAGCCTCACAAACCTTGGACAGAATATTCTCAACTGTCTCCTCTATCAGCACAACCCAGGACAGAAGCACTTTATCACACACTCAGCCGGTTTTCACAAAATGCCATCTATTCTTAGACACTGAAAGGCAGAGCACATATACAGGAAACACTGTGAGACTCGTGGAACCCTGCTCAGGTGTTTGTTTTAAAACCCTAGTCACTTACTGAAAAAAATATTTGTTACAACTTTAGTAATTTAGGAGTATACCTTGATACAGAGGGAAAGTGTTCTGTGGCAAAAGAATATCTCGGCGAATGGGGGCCAAGGAATACTGCAAAAATCACACTATGCAACAGATCTCGAGCAGGAGATTGATTGGGAGGGAGGCACAAAATGGCTGCTTCTGAGCAGGGATAGGGACAGCAACCGGCCAGGCTGTGAAGACAAGTTTTTTTGTTTGTTTGTTTTGTTTTGTTTTTTTTTTTTAATTTTACAATACCATTCAGTTCTACATATCAGCCACGGGTTCCCCTATTCTCCCCCCTCCCACCCCCTCCCCTTACCACCAGGCTACCCCCCATTCCCACCTCCTCCAGGGCAAATCCTCCCCCGAGGACTGCGATCAACCTGGTAGACTCAGTCCAGGCAGGTCCAGTCCCTTCCTCCCAGACTGAGCCAAGTTTCCCTGCATAAGCTCCAGGTTTCAAACAGCCAACTCATGCAATGAGCACAGGACTTGGTCCCACTGCCTAGTTGCCTCCCAAACTGATCAAGCCAATCAACTGGTGAAGACAAGTTTTAAAGGAGCTATGGTGTATGAGCATAGGGAAACATACAGTGATGACGTAATGTGTCAGATTAGCTGTTAGTGATGTCCAGGCTCTTGGTGCTAAGTCACTGATGCAGGGTGGGGGATGGGCAACTCCAAGGAACCTGGTTCCAGAATGTGGGCAAGGGAGTTTTGGTGGTTCTTAGAATTGTAAGTGTTGCAGTTCTGAAGGAAAAGGTATCCTGGTTTTCAGAAGCCAGGGAATACCTAAGTTACAGCTCTGAAGGAGAAGGGATCCTGGCCGTCAGAAGCCAAGGAATACCTACAGCTGGAAAGGGAAAGGTATCCTGGCAGTCAGAAGCTTAGAACAAGCTCAGTGACTGGTTGGTAAGTCCTGAGTTGGTTAGGGGCAAGGTGTGTTTCCTTGGCTCTGGTCTCAGGGTCAGGGTGTTCTTTCACTGGCCCTTTTTACCCTATAAGAGTATCCAACATTGAGGACTTCTCTTTTTCTCCTTCGATTTTCTTTTTCCTATATGGCCCAGACATAATGGCATCATGCACAGTTAAGAGTTTATTATTTTTTTCATTATTATCTTTATAAGATCACACACCACACAAAGTTAGTGGGCAACATTGAACTTCAAGTTCTTTCTCATTTATTTTTTCATTTTCATTTTCATTTTGCTAGTTAGGTTTGAACAGGACTCTACGCATGCCAGGCCAGTGCTCTATCAAAAAGTTACTGCCCCACTCTGGACCCTTAAGTTTTCTACCTTAACCCATTCCATGCCAAGTCTATGTAATTTAAATAGTATCCACAGATAGTTTCCCTCATTTCATGTAGAAGATGATTTCTTAATTAGAAAAAAAATAAGCTGATTTTCAAGAACATTGTAACCTCTTCTAAAGGTGTGATGGTATTTTCATCAACATTTGATGATTTCTGTATAGTGTGACCATGAATTTTTGCTGTCTGTTCCTTAAGCCACACCACAAGGAAATGCTCACAGCTGGTTCTCAAGCACAGGGAGTCCAGTTTAGTGCCCACCTTTATTTTTTTGTAGTGACCCATCTTCCAAGCTTCCTTAATAATTAGAACTGAAGACTTCAGAAAAGTCTTGTTTGGGAATAATTTTAGGATCGTAAACCTTTTACCATAGTTTTTTTTTAAAGTGTGTATTTGACATCACCAACAAAGATGTAAGATCGTCTACTTTAGAAATATTGAACTGTGTTCTCTTGTGTAGGTTCAGTGGGTCCTTTGAAGCCTATGAAATTGTTCGTGTGGGCATGAAATGGCCCACTGGGAATTGTGGCTAAGCTTCAAGTGATAAAATAGCTACTTACCTGATTTGCAAACAGATGCCAAGGGTCTTGTCTATCTCCTTCAGTGTGGCAGTTCAGCCACCACAGTGCCCAGTGACGCCCAGGGTAAGCTGAGCCAATAATCCTTTGCTACCCATTGCTAGGGTTCAAAACAACAATACCACAAACTTGTAGTTTTTGAGTCAGGGGAGGTAAGGCATGTTCCATTCAATTGCATTAAGAGAACTTGGAAATTTCCTCAGAACCAAGACATTTCTAGGCTGAGTTCCCTTCCTCAAGTTCAGGGAGAGGCTCTCTGGGCATGCTGCTCAGTGGCAGAGTACTTAAGAAGCAGGTGAGAGAAGTGAGAAGCCCAGTCCAGCATTACAACAAAGAAAAGGAAAAGCAATTGCCTTAAATCTCCTCTTCACACAGCTGGGAACTTCCTTCAATTTCCAGGAAGGAGTAACCTCCAGGAAAGAGAAAAAAGACATTGGGACTTTTTTCTGAGGGCAGCTCTGAGAGGTTACCTACGCAGGGCAGCTTTACCTCCTGCCTCCCATAGTCTGTGCCCAGGCTATCATATGTCTATACTGACCTGTTTACCAAGAAAATCACTTAGAAACGGTTGTTTGTGCTTTGGAGCTATCCAATTTCCTGTAAAGCTCAATACAACCCTTCCAGATCACCCAGATATCCCTCAGCTCCTTCAGTAGGAGGCTGGGTGTCACAGCATCGGCCCTCACTAAGTTAATTGGTATTCACCTTTTTATGATGCCCAATGCACTTTCATAAAATCATATCCCTTCCTCCTGCTGGGCTGTTGACAGTCCGTTCATTCACTTTATTTGTCCTACAGATCGTGAAGGGGAAATGTCCCAGCAGTTCCTTTACCACACAATGCTCACGACTTTACACTGTTTCTCTTGGCCTCCATGCTACTTTGAGCTCATAAACTGTGTTATTAAAACAGTGAAGTGTACTGTTACTGCAGGCGATCATTATTGAGAACACACTCTTGTAAATTTGCCACGTGGTAAAACTGTGTCATCCGCTGCCCTGACCAGTTGTGAATATCGTACCCAGGCACTCACAGTTCTGCTATGGAGGGCTAACGTTTAGTGAGCACTTCCCAGGACAGGTGCTGTACTAAACATCTTACATATTTTTCCAGTGCAGTCTCCCAGGGCGGTGATGATCAGTGAGCGGGGATGATTCTTCTAGAACCATTACAGTTTTTAGAACCATAATGCTGTCATTACCTTGAGTTTCAATTAGTCATGATAATTGACTTCTTTTGGAATAGATATTGGACCCTCTCTCAACAGCACATTTTAAAGGATTGAGAAAGCAGCACTTTTGAGGAAAAGAAAAACAAACAAACAAAACAAAACACATACACAGCTGTAGCACAAAGACTAGTAAGATAAATACCATAGACTGACTGATCAAAAGATCTCAGCTGACTTGAGACGGGGCAGGGTGGTGGCTAGAAAAAAAAAAAAACTTAATAAGAGAGATGACAGTGGGAAGAGATTTCCTGAGTCGGGGAGTGTTTTTCTTGTGGGAAAAATCCACACAGGAGCAGAGTGACTGGGCAGGGATGGGGGGTGGGGGTGGACGGCACATATAAAGGCAGGGATGAAATAGGGGTGGTTTGGTAGGTGGGGGACAGGCTGGTGATATGGAGGAAAGGTGAAGGAGAAGGCCTCTGAAGTTTAGACGGAGGTCCCCAGAGCAACACATGGAACAGCTGGGAAGTCATTTGATGAACAGCAGGAGCATCCAAGCTTCTGAGTGGCAGGGTGCAGACAGCTGCTAAGGAACGGGAACTTGCAGGGGTGTTCCCAAGGCCCAGATGCATAATGGGACCGATTTGGATAAAAACAGTGAGGTTATCAGGATGGCCCAGATGAGATCTAATGAGGACCAGCGTGAGGTTGTGGCCCTGGTAACCGGAAGCTGGGAGAGAAAAGGATGCCCACACTGAAGAGCCTGATCTTGGAAGCACACCAGTGATGGATGCATGGCATGGAACGTTCTGGAAATCTGTGAAAACTCCTCAAATCTGTGTTCAGTTCGGCAGGGTGCTCCCCAATTTCAGTCCAGGGATGCCCGTTTCCTCCTTGCTTTCTTGTAATGGAAGCCAGGGCAGCTTTACCTCAGAACAATGTAATAGGAATTTGACTCGGAAAAACAGAATCACAAAGATGGCTTTAGTTTATTTCACTGGGGGACTATGAGAATGAACCAAGTGTGTGAAGTCCGAGTTTAAATGAATGCTGTGGCTACAGCAGGTTTTTATGAGGAGCATGTGTGTGGCATATATACTAGAGAGCTGAGCTATATTTAACTTTCTAAAGAAAACCATGTGTAAGAGGTGACAAGTCTGGCAAGGTGGCTCCTTTGTTGACACATTATAATTGTCTTCGAGCTGGCAGAGTGCACAGAGGGAGAAGCTAAGGCTTCTGATGATGCCCGCGACGGCGGGACCACCATCTAGTACCTGCAACACAACGAACTCATTACAACTGTGTTTTTAATTAAGTTACACTCACTTTCCATTCTAAGGCCTCCAATGCATTAAACATCTCATGCTTCATTGTGGCGATATTTGTGCTTTAATAAAGTTTGCATGGAGATCAGAGGAAATAGCAAGCCGTTTTACGGAAACAAGAAGTCAGGCAGCACACGCCCTTAATTCAATCACTTAGCAGACAGGGTCTCTGTGTGTTCAAGGGCACACTAGGGAACAGAGCCAAGCATGGTGACACACGCCTTTAATCCCAGTACCAACCATAGAGACCTGGAGGACTGTACAGACAGACAGAAAGTGACAGAGCTGTGCAGGAAGAGGAAGTGAGGTAGCTGAGCTAAGAGAGCCAATGAGAAGGCAAAAAAAAGCAAGGCAATAAAGGAATAGGTAAGACAGGAAGTAATGCACATTTGGAAGCTGCAGAGTTGGTGAGGTAAGGTTGGCTGGTGGCTTTCCCTATTTCCCTGACCCCTCTAAGGCTTTCACCCCTATGTTTGGCTCTGTGTTTTTTATTTAATAAGACCATTTAGAAATTCATCTACACGTTGTAGGGTCAATTGTCTAACACTGATAACCTTGTGGGTCTCCTGCCTCAGCCTCCTGAGTAGTTAGGATTGCAAATCTCTCTCTGTCTGTCTCTGTCTCTCTGTCTCTGTCTCTCTCCTCATAAGACCCATTTCCGGAATTGAACCCCTGAGTCCTGGCTTCCTTCCCTAAGCCCTGTGAACCTCTTACCGCGTCCCATGTCTCAGTACCTCCACCGTATTCTTACTTTTTGTCCACCAGTGAGAACTTCGGATTTTCTATAAACACTCCCTTTCTTTCTTCATGAACCTCAGCCTCCAAGATCCAGCTATTTTTATGGTCTTGATATTGCTGGACTACGTGACCGTCTGCTAATTTCTGCTGTTACTTTTGTGGTTCAGGCTCACTTTATTCTTGACCTGGAACAACCTTCCAATCTTTTTTTTTTTTTTATTCAGTAGATAGGCAATTAATATACACACCTGAACTCCCTAGGAAAGCTCCTTGGTTATTAAAGGAAAGGCAAGTTCATCCTAAAACTCCTCCAGTCTCCATCTTGTGCTTTATCTTCTAGCATCATGAGTAAGTATGATTGGACTTAGTGGCCAAATGAGAGATGAGAAGAAAAAAGTTTGCCAGCCAGCTAGCCTGGTGTAGGGCAGGGAACCCCAAACTTCCTTTCAAGGTGGAAGGTGAGGACTGATACCCAAGGTTGCCCTCTGACCTCTACACACCCAGCACGGCATGTGCATACCTGCACCCATTCACCTCTTCATCTTGTACACACACAGAGGTGGCAGGGAGGGCGGGGGTGGAGAGGGAGAGAGAGAGAGATGGAGGGAAGGAGGGAGGAAGAGAAAGAGAGACAGACAGACTGTCAGAGATTTTAAACAAATCTCATGGCCCATGTCGGTGTGGACCTCTTCCAACAGAGGATTATGGAAGTACTGTTCTTAGCTAAGCTGCAGCAAGATCACAAGACAAATCTCAGGATACATAAAGTTTACATTTTGAGAAATGT